TTTTATTCACTTTATGGTGCTCAAGGTTTCGCGAACAATTGTTTCTCACGACAGATTATCAAGTGAGTGCAGCATTCTAATCACAGGACTCAACAAACACCAATATTTAAGTAATCATACAGAGAAAAAGAAAAGAATTTTGAGGAAATATTTTTCTATGTTTCAAAACTGAAAAGAGCCGCATATTTATAGAATATTTGTGGTCATTCAAATAGTCACATCTTTTCATATAAAGTTATACCAAAAGACATATCCTTACCTAAAAGGTTGTATCCTTTACAAAAAGACATATCATTTTATGAAAAGTTGTGGTTCTTAATTTTTAATAAAAGTAATTTTATTCATAAAATCCAACAACAAAGTATTAATAATGTTTTTATCTACTTTCAAATTTTAATTTCAAAATAGGGAAATTTAAATGGATGGCTAAATTTTGCCACCCGTTTTAAAAAATGTCTATTAGTTTTAAATTTTGTACAAATGGCTAAAGGGTATTTTAGGAGTTTTATAAAAGAACGTAGTTTTCCAACAATACCCTTTTCTAACGTAGTTTTCCAACAATACCCTTTTCTATGTGTTTTTGGTTTTTTCCTATATTCAACCACCTAACAAACTTTGTTTTGAATTAAAAATGATTTTCCTACATTTAAGAGAGTTCAGGTTAATTATTTTAATTACTTTGTTTTGTATTTTAGTTAATTTAAATGATTTGTGTACAACGATTCATCTCTCATTCTGTCGTTCTGTAATTGTTCTACTATATCTTCTTAATGTATATATACATATTTGCATCAATTAGTATATATACCTAACCACTAAGGAGTATATGCTGTCACAAGTTATTTATATTCTTGTTTTCCTATTTCTTTATCATTTAATAAATCATCTACAACAAAAGTAAATTAAAAAATAAAAAACTAACAACCTATAAATCAAAACGATTAGGAAAATAGGTGATGCCTCTTAAATTTGTAGTCTTTGGGCGTGTATCGTCATCATATTCAGTTTCTTAAACTTCTTTTGACGATGAGTTATTTTTCTTATGTTCATCGGTGTATTCATTATTTACTCTTTCATTCTCTTCATTAGACTTTGTATCGTCCTTTAAAACATTAGAAAATTTATCAAAATTAAAAGGTCAATAAGCGTATATATTAATTAAAGAAAAATCAAAATTAGAATTCAATACACATATATATCACCATGAAACTCAATTATGTCAATACATATATATACCAATTCAAGAATTAACAAAATACGAAAGTCAAAACATGTATATACAACTATACAACTGAAATATCATAAGTAGAATGTCAATACATGTATATACCAATAATTATCTCACTAACACGTTCTTCCCTCAACTATCTTGAGACCCTTTCCTTTTCCTGAAATAGACGAGTATAGTTAGCTTAGTCAATCGAATTTGTAAATATTATTGTAAAAATTAACAAACAAGAAATGTATAAACTACTGCATCTATACATTTTTTTCACTTTCTAAGTTGATTTTGCATGATTCCTTTGAACGTCTTGTTATACCAGTAGCTTTTAGTCATTGTTGAGATGTTTCTCCTCTAATTTTTACCATATCTATAGATTCTATTTAGAATTTAAACTATATAAATATAATAAGTCTGTTGCAGTTGTAGATATATAGTTTTCAGATCTAATTATAAACAAAAGACACATGTCGGTCCCACACTTGTCTTTTTTTAAATACCCTATAGGAAAACCAAAAATATCTTTTCAAATACCCCTAAAATACGCAAAATCTGAACAAAGGGTCTTACCTTCCTCGAACAGTTGCTAGAATATGGAAGTTGGGCGCCAAATCGGAAACATATCAAAGCAGTAGTAGGTGGATCTGGTCTTGGGCGGTCAGCGAATCGTATCGGCCTTGGGCGAATCTGGTCGGGCGGCGGGACGGTAGATCTAGTTTGGGATGTGGCGCATCAAGCAAATATGGTACGTGTTGCGGCCAACGGGAAGGGTGGCAGCTGTTGGGTGCGGCGACGACGGGTCTGGTTTTGGTTCGTGGACGGCGGCGTGAAGGTGAGCGGCGCATGGATCTACTTCATAAGGTGAGCAGCAAGACGAGATGGTGGCCTTGAAGGTGAGTGGCGGGATGGCGGCTTGCGGATCTGCTTCGTGAGGAAGATGATGGTTGTGGGGCGCATGAAGTTACGTGAGACCAAAAGGTGGGAAGAAGGTGGGACTTCTAAAACCCTAACTTGTCTAACTCAAATCAGATCTGAGAAGTAAATTTTATCTTTTACTTAGTAATAATCTTATTTATCCCCTTATTTTAGAATTTTAGAGGGGTAAATTTCAAAATCTACCCCAACACATTTTTAATAATTTTTTCTTAAATCAACTCTCAAATTCTCATTATCAATTTTAAATTAGATTTAAGTTAATTATTTAAATTTCATTCATTTGATTAGATATAATTGATTCAAAGCCTGTTGTTTTTGCTATTAGTTAAAAATCCTAAATCCCTAAAATGATGCGTATATACTTAATTGGTTACAAGACTATTTTTGTCTACAAAATATTTTAGAATTTAACGAAAAAAATCAATTAGCCATTATTGCAATATTTCATAGATTTGGACATTTTTTAAAACGCGTTATTAAAGATTTTTCTAAAAGTTACAATTTGTTACAATGGTATTTCAAGGCTATTTTATAATTTGTTACAATGGTATATTTTTCTAAAAAGTTATTGAGGATTTTAAAAAAATGTCTTTTAGCAATTCGTGCACTATCTAATATGTTTGGCTATTTTTTTAAATCGCGTTATTTATTTTGATCATTCCTGCCGTTGCCCTTTATTTTCATAGGACAACATGGAATCTAAAAAGTTAGAATATGTAAAAGGTTGTTGTTTAGTTTATGAATAGCTTAATTATTTTCATTAATAAAATAATTGAATTTCAAAAGTTTTGTAACTTTCCACTAATATAAATAATTATTTTCTTCTAAATTAATGGTAAATAGTAAATCAATTAATAAATTATAAATAGTAAATAGCAACCATAACAATGATATGGAATCTAAAAAAATTATTTTTTTAGTACAACATTAATCTAAAAAGTTTGAATATATAAAAGGTTGTTATATTTAATTTATGAAGAGCTAATTATCTTCACTAATAATTAATAATAGAATTTCAAAAGTTTTAGAATTCTGAAAGTTTTGTAACATTTGATAAATAGACATTTCTTTTATCATTTTTTACCAACATTTTCTTTATTTTTAGTTCTCTCATTTCTTGCTTTAATATTTGAGATAAGTAATAGATAAGAATATTTATCTCAAAATGAAATATTAAAAAAAAATTTATGAGTTCATTAAAATTTCTTATAAACTACTATAACATTCATAATTTCCTATATAATAATTCTTCTTTTCCTAAAAAGTTAAGAAAAATATACATATTTTTAACCCTAAAATATAACTAACCCATTTTAGATTCAAATTACACAACGTGCTTACCTTTTAACACTTTTATATTATTATCTAAAGATTGATCCATTATAGGTGAAATTCATTAGAAAAATTACTCATATATCTTTTGTAATATATGTTAAATAAAGTAAAAAAAAAACAAAATTAAATATGGAATAAAATTAGTATTTGGGCATCTTTCTAAATTTGTGCCACCCATGTTTCTCATATAATTGAAAACCTAAAATCCCTCCAACACCACGACGGCGATACAAACGACACCAACCTAGGCGATGGCGACCTCGAAGTCCTTTTTGGCATATTTCGTGGCATTTTTTCTGGCAGAAGACTAGTAGTGCACAAGCCCACAAACGTCGTTGACCTTGGTCACCGTTGTTGCTTTTCTCCGTCGTCCTTTTTTTTTCGGGTGGCAATGGGCAAACCCTGTGTAGATCTACGACAGTCCAATTTTTATTCATTTATTTTTGCCAGAAAAGACAGTCGAGGGAGGAGAGTGGTGAGAAGAAGAAGGAAGAGAGGGGAGGCCAATGATATTTATACCAATGTATATAACAATATATATTATGTAATACAGTTGAGTATATTATTATCCTACTATAAGTTTGATTATATATATATATATATATATATATATATATATATATATATAACCTTTTTGTTTAGTATATAAGAATGAAAAATATATATTATATCAGAAGTATATGTTATCCTACTTTATATTATAAGATTAAAATAAAAAAATTATATAGTGATTGTTGTTATATAATCTAATAGTTTAGTATATATCAATAAAAAGTATATATTATATAACTAGTATAATTTAAAATACTATTGAAAAGATAATTCAAATATGAAAAGAGTATTTTGAAGTAGTATTTGTTTATCGTACTATTGAAAATAAGACGCCGAAAAAAAAGACGCTAGAAAAAATGTAATAGCGGTTTCCGATGAGGAGGAAAATAGGGAGAATCAGATGATTTTTATTATATATGGGAGGATTTAGAGATTATTATTGATTAGAGAAAAATCGGAAATAAATCAAATCGGACCGACGAGATAAAGAATTTCAAAATTTTGAATATATCATATTTATTACGTGAAAACTAAATATGGAAACGTTTGAATAAGTATTAAAACTAATTATTTAAATAAAAACAGATCTTATTAACTCAAATAGTATTAATCGAGGACTAATCTGAAATAAATAAAAAATTCAAATCTAAAAATTCAAATATTAAAAATTTGAAAATAAAAATATAGTTTCTAACTTTTTTTTTCTTTTCTTTGAGGCAATATAGTTTCTAACCTGACTCATGAAAAACAATTTCTCTTTTATTATTTTATTGTCCCATATTGGGTTGGGAAGCCCAGCCCAAAAGAGAGACATTAATGAAATCAAATTTTGTCATATAAAAAAAAAAAGAGAAAAACAAAAAGAAAAAGGAAGAGAATAAAAATTTGAACAATTTCCAATAAGCTGAAGGCGTGTGCATGCAAGAAATACAGCTATAGGCAGAGTTGGAGGGCCGCTAAAATTCTTATATAAACACGCTTTTCTTCTCTTCATCTTCTTCTTCTTCTTCTTCTTCTTCCTCGAATCGCTTTTCAAAACCCTACAAATTCTTCCTCCGAAGGTGAAACAAAATCCCTTAATTCTCTCTCTGTTTCTAAAGGGTTTTCGGGGTTTATTCTGACCTCTGCTTCATGGGTTTCTGTTAATCTTACTTGGGTTCTTCAGGATTTCTCTTCTTTTTTTCGCTTTTGCTTCTAGGGTTTTGCGATCGATCCTCTATTGGTCTCTTATGTTCGTGATCGTGGAGGGTGGCTGGTTCTTTTTTGTATTTTTCCGATTCTTATGACTATTGAAAATATCTTCCTTCCATATGTTTACATTTATCGGAAATTATGTGTTTCTCCTCTAGAGTTATGAGTTTTAGTCCAAATGGTTGTTTTTCGTATACTATGATAGTTTATTTGGTTTATTATGTAACTGGAAATGGTACCGATTACTAGGCTAGAGGCTCCTTTTGGTCATGCATGCTCTCATATATCTCTTTTCGTTCTTTTAATTACAACTATCTTCTTGATTTTTATCTGGTAGAGAATAGGGATATCATAAAGTATATTTCTATATTGTGGAATGACGGAGATTGGATGGCCTGGAACTGCGGTTGAGGTATTAGTAATGTCCCGGTAGCCGACCAGGATCCTCTGGGGGCCCCTAATAGACTTGACTTCACTGAACCATCACCCTTTTCTGAGACTGTCATTTTTTGGTTGAAATTTATGCATATTTTAGCCTCAATTTTCTAATTGTCAAGCTGTCTTGGGGATCAATAATGATGCTGAAATGATCCTTTAAGTACAAAGGACAAGTTAATGGTTCCAGTTAGTGAACATGTGTAGCTTTTCCTTACCAATGCTTTTGCTTGGCCTTTTCTCTTTGTCATATTTTAACTATTAGCATATGCTGTTTTTTGTGCGTAAAACATATCTGGTTCAGCTGTCAAAGCCTCTACTTTGCTCTACAAGGTGTGATGGCTTCCAAACGTATTGCCAAGGAGTTGAAAGACCTGCAAAAGGACCCGCCAGTTTCTTGCAGTGCTGGTTTGTACTGATCACCCAATCTTCCTAATTTCGCACACAGTGTAACTTGTTGTACAGACTTGCCTTTCATCTATCGCTATGATTAGTTATTTTGGAACTTTTTGTTGTTTTTTTTACATATGCTTGTCGGTATTGTGCTGGAAGTTCATTTGTTGCATAACCTGGCTTTCATATTGGGGCGTGATGGATTATTTGCAATGGAAATATATATATGGATAATGGCTCCGTCTATGTTTGGTAAATAGTTTTGGCCAGTTTTGTGGATCTATGCCATGCCCTTAATATTATTTTTGGATTTGTACATGGTTCTGATATTAGGAGGTGATGTGAGATTCTGCTCTCAAGGATATGGTAATATGGGATTTTGATTTTATAGATGAAGTTTCTTGGGAAATTGATGTCCGAGAATAACAGAGTCTTGGCTCGTCTAGCTCCAGAACTCCTGAGTCACTTAATTCTCATCTTTCTCTAGTGAACGTTTTCGTTTGATAATAACATTATTTACAGGTCCTGTTGGTCAAGACATGTTTCACTGGAATGCAACAATTATTGGTCCAGCAGACAGCCCTTATGCTGGAGGTGTATTTTCAGTTAACATTCACTTTCCACCAGATTATCCATTCAAACCACCAAAGGTATCAAACTACTCAGTCTGCTTCTGTTTTCTTTCCTCCAAGATTGTATTATAGTATTTGTTATTGAATTTATTGTATTTCTCCATGGGAACCTGTTCATGACATTCTGTGCAGCATCTCTTGGTTTTATTGCATCAAAGAACCAAGTTGCAAATATTTTTTTATTCTAGTTATACTGATAGTTGCCAGAAACAAACATGTTTGTGACACTAAGGTTTGAGAATAAATTGAAGTCTGAACATCGCTTCTAATTGGATGGAAAATATTTTTCTTTTCCTTTTAGTACTTTGAAACATATTCTTGCATATTATTATTATTTCTTTTCGTTATTTGTGAGTGTTTGGGTTAGCCTACGCACACCAACAACCTTTAGTTATTTGAAAATTCATAGGACTCAAATATCCTAGGTGGGTGGTCATCATAGGTTCAGCCGATCCGTTTCTCCTAAAGTCCTTTTTTTTTTTTTTTAACATGCCCCATGCTACTAGCCCAAGGATGGTTATATTCCTGCATATTATGATAAGGGACTAAGGAGTTGGTTAGTCATTTTATGTTGAGTAATTTTGCTTTTCATACTTTATCTACTTGGTTCAGTCTTCTTGCATCAGTCATTGTTCTGGTTTACTAGTTGCTACCCCTTTCTGCCATTTTGAATTTTCTTTCCTTGTGTAGTCTTGCAAAAGCAATTGACATCAAGTCATAGAAAGAAATGCACAGATGATATTAATTAAAGACAAATGATATTGTGTGTTTGAATTGGAGCAGGTTTCGTTTAAGACCAAAGTTTATCACCCTAACATCAATAACAACGGAAGTATCTGCCTCGACATTTTGAAAGAGCAATGGAGCCCTGCTCTTACTGTTTCCAAGGTACTATCATCCCAATGTTAACTTGTTAAATCTTTGCTGAAAAATGATTTTGATGTATTTTACTTTAAAAAATTATTACTTTGTCCAATATTACCATTTGTCTATTTCTTATGCCTAAAAAGTGAAAAAGTGTTTGATACGTATCTAACAAGTGTCGAATTCATATTCACTTTGTATAACTTGTGGTGACAAACATCTATTGCTGGAATATCTGAGTGTCCAACTCTCGGACACATTACCCAAATTGAAGTGCCATGCCTCTAAGCTATTAATTATCATACAAAAATCCAACACCTTGCAGCTTCTAACATTTGGCATCTTGTAATCGGTTAAATAGACAAAAGACGTATGTCTATATTCGGTTTTTGTTTAATGATTTTTTAAAAGTTAATGAGAATAACTAAAATAGTTTCCGTACCCCAGTTTAGGTATTAGAATAGTCTAATTTAATCGATGATCTCTTGAAATGTCCTGCATATAATTCTATTTTAGTTGGGGTCTAATCATATAACAAAAACCAGAAAACCAAAAACCCAAATACATAACCTATTAGTTATGAATATATATCCATGGATATATTTGTGAAAGAGAGATGTTGACATCACCATTGACATCGATATTTGGTGATGGTTGTGCAGGTGTTGTTGTCGATATGCTCGCTACTGACAGACCCGAACCCAGACGATCCTCTGGTGCCAGAGATAGCTCACATGTACAAAAATGACCGAGCCAAGTATGAAAATAATGCCCGATCTTGGACCCAAAAATATGCTATGGCCTAAAGCAGCAGCAGCACCACAAGGTTCCAACCTTCGTTAATATAAAGAAAGAAAAAGCCCTTTTTTTTTTGTTTTCTGGACAGACTTTATGGATTTTGAACGTAGGCTATGCTGAAACGTAGTGAACTCCCAACTTTATAATGGCATTGCATTGCTACAGTTTTATGTTTCATCAGCAAATAATATTTTGTTATCACTATCTCCACTTTTATCAATATTCCACTTCTTTCATGCTCTGTTTTAGGGAATATGGCTACAGGTTTTTATTTTTATTATTTTTTTGTAGTACAAACCTATTTGTAGGTCTGGATAATTTTTTGGTCGGAAATAATATGTAGGTTTGGATAAGTTGAATTTGATGATTTTATGAGTTGGTTCATTTGAACTTATTGAATGAATATTATTTTGTTTTTTTTTTGAGTAATAATTTTTATTCAAAATGTGTTATTAATTCTCAATTAATGAATGGTTAAGGAATTAATACTTTTACTATTCAGGCTGATTTTGAGAACAATTAAAGTGATTATGAGAGAATTTTAAATGCTCAAATTGATTGCGAATAAATCCATTTAAAATCACTATTAAAAATGTGTGGAGGAGATGAGATAATTGATTTTGCCAAAATCATCATCTAAATGATATTTTAAGGTATATACTCACTGAATTTGTTATCTATTAATTCTCCTAATTTTCAACACATAATTTGGAGTAAAGTTAAATTTAAATTTAAATTCAAGTCATATAAATTTTTTATTTATTTATCTTTAATTTTTTTCTTTTTACAAATTATTATCAATAAATTGACCAAATTTTTATAATAGACCTACTAGTACTAAACGACAATAATCTAGTATTTAATTTACAAAACACTATAATCTTTTATTTAAAATTAAAATACCAAACACTAATCAACTAACACAGTGCTAAAATTGGTCCAACTAAAAAATATATTATGTTTGTGTGGCGGCTTTGGCTTGATCGGCTGCCTACACGGGATAATTTATTGGTTCCTTGTGTAGATGTATCGAACACTTGAACCCGACGCGAAGTTAGTGAAACCTGAGCGTAGCTATGTCACGTGAAGTGAAGAACCTCTGCTTCCTTTTTTAGACACCTTTTCTTTATTATTCCCCGGAGAGAGATCCTCTTATGAACAGGAAAATTTGGTCACGTAGATCCTCGATTTTGCCGGACCATCATGTTGACTATTATTCAAAATAAAGTAAGGAAGTCCTTTTCTTGACTTGGCCTGCGTGCATTATACATACCGCTTTTTAAAGAACTTTATTTCAATCTCAATAAAGAAATGAAAGCAACACTCTTTGCTTGTTGTCCTCTTACTCTTTGAGTCTGCCTTGTGGAGGTCTCTCGGGTGTCTACGGCAGATCCGATTTGCCCGGTAAACTACTCGGGGCTCCCCATGGTTTAGTAAAAAGGAGGGGAGATTTTATTATAATTTGGATCAAATGTAGTAACTACTAGCTTACTCTCAAAATGACTAAATTTTCTTAATACTTTCTCTATGTAATGAGATTGAGAATGTTGACGACGAATTTTGGTTGAGGGCAACGTGATCTCTGGACGAGCAGTTCGGAGATGAATCCACGGGGCCTGAAACCACAGAACTATGCCAGTGCGGTGTCCCACCTAATATACTCCGAAGCTCAAGTTAGTAATCAGAGTAAAAGATAGGAATTAGACACTAGAGAGTTTAGTGACAGATTTTTCACCTACTTGGTGTGGAGGATCACCCTTCCTTCTATAGCCTTGAAGGGCCGACCAAGAAGGACGACAGTTGGAGGTGGCAGGGGCGTCGCACGCGGTACGGTAYGATAGAGAGGGGTGCATCCCTGACAGTGCAGAGTAGCCCCGCTGCTTGCGTTGCCTGAGCATGTCGCCTAGGGCCGTTGGATGCGGCCATCGTGCCGATAGCACGCACTGCCAACTGTGGGTATGTAGGGACGTAACTGTTTGTGGTGTTTGTCCCGTCGTGAGCAGACACGCCTTCTGCTTGACAACATCCCCACTGAGAATCGGTTCTTAGTGGACCTACGCCTACGGAGGGGCGAATACGTGGCCTATTCAGAAGCTACCCATAACAGAGAAAGTATATATCCACTTGGATTTCTTATTATTTTGATTCCAAGGATAACATCAGACCAAGGTCTTTCATATCAAAGTTAGAATTCAACATCCTTTTACTGGAATCAATAACACTGCTAGTTGTGTCTATTATCAACATATCATACACATATAAATAAACAATGACGCAATCTTGATCTATGGTTTTAACATAGACACATTTGTCACACTTATTAATTTATCTTAAATCCATTAGATAACATAGTGTGATCAAACTTCTCATGTCATTGTTTGGGTGCTTGTTTCATTTGAACCCATAAAGAGACTTGACAAGTTTACAAGCTTTATTTTCAAGTCCTTTTACAATAAACCTTCAGGTTGTTCCATATATATTTCTTCATCTAAGTCTCCATTTAAAAATGCAGTTTTTACATAAATTTGGTATATTTACAAATTTCGTAAAGCTGCTATTGTAGGATCGAATGACAACACTAGAGGGGGGTAAATAGGGTTGCTTACCACTTTTTGAAAATTAAAAATAAATTTAAAGTAATGAACAATTATGCAACCAATAAAAGAAGATTAACAAGAAGAGGAAA